GTATTCAGTATTGTATGAACATGTTTGAATTGGGGGGGTGGACGTCACATCCTCTAGGGGGGTCCGGGGGTATGCCCCCCCGGGAAGATTTTTTTGAACATTTTAAAGTAAAATGCTTCAATCTGGTGCACTTTGAGCACACAATTACTAGAGACCTGATCTAGGGGGTACAACTCTAAACACCCATATGAAAAATATCGGTTTACATTTTAATAATCAAATAAGTATATGAACATAACCAATAACCTACCATGGCCAATAACAAATACATGTAACTTTTTTTATTTTTGTTGTTCATTCATATCTTATTTTACCTTAACATTTATTTATTCATGCATATTTTTGTATCTCTCCAACTTTAAACGATATTTTTGGTTTACTGTCCTATAGTATACATTGGAATGATTTCAAACCTGTTTTTATTTATCCTAATAATTATAAAGGAGTGCCTTGGAAATATGTGTTTATATAAATTGTGATCAAAATGTTTGAGACCCACTGAGATGACTTAGACTAAAGTTAACTATCCAAACACTCAGAGAGTCCTTTAACCTCACTGAGCCTCTCAGTCTGACAGGAGAGCCCTCCTCCACCCTGGTTGTAGAAACACCTACTTCTTATATCCGTTAGCGCAGCTAGCACCAGATTCTAATAACAATCGCTCGCTCTCTCGCTCGCACTTTGGCTGTGAGCTGCGGGCGCCTGATAAGCCAACATCCCCCACTTTCATCACTTACAGCGCCCATCGTACAGGGCAAATGAAAAGTGTAACCGGGGTGAAAAGGGTGTTACATTTACTTAATTAATCAAAAATGAAAAAGGGTTGCCACTTATTATTTTAATAAAATTTAAAAAAGGTACCTGGCTGGCTCGCCCTAGCAGCGGAGTGCTGCGCCGCCGCTATTTGTATATAGGGGAAACACTGATGGCCTCTTTAAGAGAAGCTGAAGAGATTTTCAAATGTTGTTTTACGACATAAAATATGTCAGTAAATATCCCACTGGTCAGTTTAAAATTAAGGGTTGCTAGTGTTAAAATTAGATTACCAAACTGTATCATTCCCAACATTAGCCGCCTTTAGCTTAGCGGTGGTGACGTGAAGTCATGTGACCGTGCTGTAGTTCCTTTATAGCCCAACATTAGCCGCCTTTAGCTTAGCGGTGGTGACGTGAAGTCATGTGACCGTGCTGTAGTTCCTTTATAGCCCAACATTAGCCTCCTTTAGCTTAGCGGTGGTGACGTGAAGTCATGTGACCGTGCTGTAGTTCCTTTATAGCCCAACATTAGCCGCCTTTAGCTTAGCGGTGGTGACGTGAAGTCATGTGACCGTGCTGTAGTTCCTTTATAGCCCAACAATAGTCAGAATAAGCCTACAGAAATACATCATCACTGCACCACTCTATTGTCAGAGTGCCTGCTGATACTGGTACACACATCAAATTAAACACACATGATTCCCAGTATAGCAGCAACAAACTGGCCTATTTGTACGGCCACATACATGCTACTTGCACACAGGATGGTAGAGCATATAAAACAGCCTCTTCTCTGCAGGTAATGGAGCGACTTCGGCTCTGTTTGGTCACCCAGCTTTCGGCCTTCCTCTCTTTAATGAAGCCTGGTTTTACTACCAGACTCCTCCAATAAACTGGCTAATAAATAGCCCAGCAATGCAGTCTCTGCAGAGAGAGCCGTAGCTTCAGATCGATGCTGTTTTAGATGCATCTTCACAGGGTCGTTCTCCACTTCAGCTATATTTAGTCTACTTAAACTGACTTAAAAAACATCTTACATTTATCTATGCAGTGCTTTATCATTTATGATTACCTAATATAAGATTGATTTGTACACCACCAACCTTAATTGCATGCAAAATAAAGTGATTGCAGTATATTTTAGTTAAATTGTAATAGTTTTATTGGGTATAACATCTTTAATGGCATTTATTTTGGTCAGGATCATCACCACACGACCTATTTATATCGTCTCATGCCCAATTAAAATAACTGTAGTGGTAATAGCTGGAGGATTAGAAGTAGTGATGGTAAACAGTTAGATATGTGATCAGCAGATGGCTCAGTAGTTGAGTCAGTAGTAAGAGAAACCGCAGCTGTTGCACGAGAGCCGGTTATTACAAGTACTAGCGAAGGCATTTAAAAACAATATCCAAATCTATTTCCTTTCCTTCAGCACCGGCTCTCTGAAAAACAACATGTTTGTAGTTTAGACTCAACACAGAGCGATGGCCTTGTGCTGGTACCACATATTGATATGTATACAGTGTTAGATTAATCAATATTATCATTAATAGTCAGATTAGATCCCAAAACAACACCAAGTCAGACTCGCACTTTATATAAATAACATACTGAAGAACTTCATGTCCAGTTTTAGTAGCTTATATTTGGGACGGCTGCTTATTTAAGTGATGATACAAATAACACTTGGAGATAATGGTCACATAAAGGAGTAAAATTAATGTAAATAGTGGAGTTATTCGTCACAGTTGCTGGTTGTTATTGCGTTGATTGGTGGACTTGTCGCATGTAAAGGCTTGTCAAACGTCAGGGGTGGGACGTATATAGTACATTAAAGGGGCCGTATTCTGCTTTTTGAGGTTTTCCCTTACCTGTAGTGTGTCATACATGTTTTAGTGCATGTAAATGGTCTGCAAAGGCTAAAATCCCTCCAGATATATTGAGTATATTGTGGACTCTCTGGTGTTTTCCTGCTGACGTTGGAAATGAAACCTTTACCTGACCCCCCCCCCCCCCCCCTCATGTCTTCCTCCAACATATTCCACCTCCCGGTTTTTTTTTCCAGCATGCCCACACTCTGCCACTCCAACCACCCACAGAGCAGTGTGTGTGTGTCATATTTGCATCTCTGTGATTTGTCGGTTTAAGTGTGTGCGTGCCTCTGTCTGCACTTCCAGTGTGTTTGATGATGGTGACAATGTCTGTCTGTGTGTGTGTGTGTGCATGCAATCGAGGTCGGTCCTGCGACAGTTCCATATCACAAGACTGAAAACATCAACATGCTGAGTCTGCAGCAAGGCGCCAGTCACCAGGGCGCGCGCACACACACACACACACACACACACACACACACACACACACACACACACACACACACACACACACACACACACACACACACACACACACACACACACACACACACACACACACACACACACACCACACACACACACACACACACACACACACACACCACACACACACACACACACACACACACACACACACACACACACACACACACACACACACAGCACACACAGCACACACACACACACACATCACACACACCACACACACCACACACACACACACACACACACACACACACACCACACACACACACACACACACACTCACACACACACACACACACACACACACATTATATTAAAGGGCCAGTTCACACTCACTGTTCATTCTGCGTACTTTAATTAAACTCTGGAGCATTTACTCCTTTGTTTAAGCTGGGAAAACATTTACATTTTACTTTAGTGGAACCAGATAAGTGCCACCCTGTGAGCTTCTAGGGTTATCAACATTTGCCTAAACCCTGATGCAAAGTGAGAATGTGGAAAAGTACATAATATCCTCATCTCAGACGTTGACATCTGACAGACAATAAAAACACGCTCGACAACAACGTATTCTGAGGTGAATTGCAGCCTCGACTGATACCTCCATGTTGCCCTTTCTTCCTCTGCTCTTAACTTGGGAGAAAACAACAAATACCTGAACACAAGTACGTAATGAAGCTTTGCCTCTTTCCTCGCAGCCAAACCACAACATCTAAAGCCGTTAAAGTGACAGGTTTCAGGACAAAGCTGCACTTCACAGATCCCCACAAACCAGTCGAAGCCTTCTATTTGCAACTATTATAATCATTATAAAACATATCATATATATTATTCTGAAATGGACCAATTCTACTTTTACTCAAGAACAAAGTCTGAGTACTTTTACTTTTACTCAAGTACAAGACCTGAGTACTTCTACTGTTACTCAAGTACAAGAGTACTTCTCCCACCTCTAGTAAATTGCAATATATCGGTTAGCTGTTGGACTCAACCAAAATGTTCAAGCTTAAACATGAAGTGCTAAAGACCTCCAGACAGAAAAAAGGGGCATTTGTAAACAGTGTAGCGTTGATTCTTGGTAAAGTCCATAGCAGTGTTTGCATGCACTATGATGAACTGAATGTAAACACATACATCAGAAGTGAAATGAGTGCTTTTCTGATTCAAAGGACAGAAAACAAAGCACTGTAGTATTCCCTTTGAAGAGAACAAATTGTAAAAGCATATATTTATGTACACTTTGACATTTACTGAGACACAAAACTCTATTCAGACAAAGAAAGACTTTGATCTGAAAACACCTGAAAGCCAAATGTCAAAACAGTCTCTGCTCTGATTGTGAACCAGCATCAGGACACATGTTTGGAGAAAAAGCCCCGATGGTGAGGATTGGTGATGACAGCTGGAGAGTTTCCAACTCTAACTCCAAAGGGGCATTTTTAAACAGAGTAGTGTTGATTATTGGTCAAGTCCATAGCAGTGTTTTCATGCACTATGATGAACTGAATTTAAACACGTTCATCAGAAGTGAAATGAGTGAGTGAGACTCACACTTTTGGATTTGAGGGTTTGTTTTGTGGGATATTTGAAATAAACTTGCTATTCGTGATACAGAATAATTTTGAGTTGTATTTTTTCTTATTTTCTAATGTCATTCAATGTTGGGTGTTTGCTATGAGTTGTAAACACCTTTGTGCAGTACCGACTTACTCAACTGTGACTATACAAATCTTAAATGTCAGGAGAGAGACCTGACTGGCACCCCAAAGGAAAATCAATAAACCTACACAAATAAGTCACAATGTGTGCCGAGGGACATCTTCCCTTTACTGAGACAGAAAACTCTATTCAGACAAACAAAGAGTGTGTGACGGCCTCTTACCTTTCTGGCAGTGGTTGGAGTTCCAGCAGCGGTAGTTGTAATTATTGTTGAACATGGTCTTGCTGCACTGGGGGCTGTTCTCCATGATGCCCGGACAAACATCGCTGCATTCCTTCGACTGTTTGTTCCCGGCGATGTAATTGTTGAACTCGGCGTCCAGAATAAGAGACCAATCAACAGAGTCCAGGTAGCAGAGCTCGGGGTTTTTCTCGATCCGAATGGCGCCTCTCGTGATGTTCCTCAGGTTGAGAAGCCCGATGTCCTTCAGACTGGTCATCTCGAAGATCACCAGGGCGTAGTTGTAGAATAGGTTTCGCCCACGGATGACGGCGAGGTTTGGAAACAACGTGCTGAGGCTGTCGAGGCCGGAGACGCGGAACAGCAGCAGGTAGTCGGTGACCATGGTGAGCTTTGGGAAGCTGAGCGAGCGGAAGAACTCCTGGTTGATGTTGTTGTTGTTTTTGTCGCCAATGAGCAAGATCTGCAGGTATCCCTCCACCACCGTGCAGTTCTCCAGACGCCTGAACTCACTGATGTCGTTCCCGATGTCGATGCTGGGGCCGCAGACTGCAGGAAGGGAAGACAGAGAGAAGATTATGAGGGTGTGAGGGCGAATTTTAGGATTGTTTCTGGATTCATCGAGTATTTGTTTAGATTAGATTCCTTTATTGTCACTACACAGAGAACAGCGAAATTCCAAGCATTCCCAGACCTTATAAATATAATTTTGACAATACAAGCTAAAAACTTTTAATATATAATATATAAAGTGAATATAAATTGGACCAATGATACGTTGAACAGTACGCTCACAAAACAATAAAACATTACCATAAAAATACAAGAACAATACGGTCAAGGCAGTTTAGTATGAAAAATGTCAAAAATAACTGTTTGAAAAGTCCACTAAAGTCAAGAGGCGCTTTCACACCAAGTACTTTTCCCGGAACTTTTATATCCTGGAACTATCTAGTAAATCGCATTCACACCGGAATAAGTCCCTGAGGGAGCCGCTGACGTCACTTCTTCTTCTTCTTCTTCTGCTGCTTTGGGTTTACTGGCAGGCCGCAAACAACTTCTGTTGGGACTTCTGGCGTATACTGCCACCCGAAGTCCCCGGCCGGAAGTCCCCGGAGTTGGGGACTGGCTTCAGTAGAAGCTGCTGGGACTCCCAGCAGCTTCTACTGAAGCCTTCCGAGTAAATCGCCACAAGCGCTGACACCTCCTCATCACTCTACCGCTACCATGTTTTTTTTTGTGTTGCCATAAGTTAGTCCTTAGCCGTTTCTCAATCGCGAGGATGCTGGCTTGGTAGCACAGCCGAGCCGAGCATCTTGCTTCAGAAGCGAGGCAAGAATACTTCCTGGCATTCGGAAAACGAAGAGTGGAACAGGCTAGCAAGTGTGCAGGTGTGCGTCATGTGAGAGGCCCCGCCTTACATCTTCCGCCACAGATTTGGGGAAATTGGTCCATGCGCAAAGCATTGTGGGGATTTTAAGGACGCGAAGTCTACCCATGTGCAGCCTCGAAATTTCCCTCAAACCAAGGACGCGGCCTCGGTGGAATTCCAAGTATGCTGGAGATTGGAACAGTCCTTCGGCGGCACTCGATGACGTAGCATCCTTGAAATATTGGCTTGGAAGCCAATATCCTCGCGATTGAGAAACGGCCTCTCTCTGTTGGTGCGCTGGGCTAATGCTAATGCTAATAATGCTAATGCGAGCAAATAAAATGGCGGCTTCACAAAAACTTTTCAGAGTTTTACGGGGCGTGGTTTGCAATTCGCCGAGCCGAGCCAATCAGAAATTGGAACCTTTTTCTCCCCAGGAAAGTACCACTCTCTAGCAGGGACTGAAAAGGGGTGAAAAGGTTTGCAAAAAAAAGTTCTAGTTCCAGATCTTTTTGGTGTGAACGCAAAATCCCAGGAACTATTGGAACTATTCCTGGGAAGTACTCAGGTGTGAAAGCGCCTAAGGATGATGTCTTTGATTTTGTCCAAAAAAAACAACTCCTTGATATAAGGAGAATTTGCAATGACGTTAGTAAAAACCATGATAAAGATATCCCTTAAATAGTGGGGCCCCAGACTGCAGGAAGGGAAGAGAAAGAGAAGATTTAGGGCTCTGAGGGCGAATTATAAGATCATTTCTGGATTCATTGTTCAGTATGAAAAATGTTTTTTTTTTTAAACTGTTTGAAAAGTCCGCTAAAGTCCAGGATGAAGTCTTTGGTTTTGTCCAAACAAAGCTATTCAGTTTAATAAAGGGCTCCTTGATATAAGGAGAATTTGTGTTGACGTTGGTAAATACCATGATAAGGATATCAATTAGAAAGTTATTCAAGTGCACTTAGTTTTGCCATTTTCATGCGTTTCGTGCACTGCTTGCTGAATTACAAACATGAGGAAATGATTTCCCATATTCTTTTATTTCAACAAATTGAGCTAAACTCAAAAGGCATAGTTACAGTTAAAGTGAAGCTTTTAAATGCATTGACTGTATTAACTAACGAAAGAATACTCTGCCTGAGTACCAATGTATTTATCGCAGAATAAAACACATGTAACCTATTTGTGCAAATGAAATAATATAGATAAAAGCTGAATATCTACATTTGTGAGACGGACAACAGCATTTTAGCCTTTGCAGCCCATTTACATGCACTAAAACATAGAACACACTAAAGGAAAGGGAAACCCCTAAAAGCATGTTGTGTAATGTGTAGAACACCTAATTTGCTGTATTCTCCTACATTCTTTATGCTGTATACGTTCATTTAATGGTCTCCACATGGAAAATTACAGTTTCATCAAACAGAACACCTTGAAATGTCTTCACCTATTTGCATAAATACCTGTCTAATGTACAAACTAACAAAACCATGTTCTGAAATAGTGATGTTTTTCAAAAGATGTTTGTTTTCGTACATTCTTTTCAATATTGACAGAACACTAGAGCTGCGCTGTTGTTGACCGAATGTGTTTGCCTGGCAGTTTTCCTTTTCAATGCTCCTTTAACATGGCGAGACAAAGTAAATACTTGAGTCACGCTCTATTCAAGCCGGGTACACAGCTCCATAAAGTTTACATTGCTCTGCTTTTAGCTTATTGTCGCTCTTGTGTCCACTAAATATGACCTCACTTCTTTGTCTCACTGTCCGAGATCAAAAGGCAAAGAAACGACTGTGTACACACACACACACACACACACACACACACACACACACACACACACACACACACACACACACACACACACACACACACACACACACACACACACACACACACACACACACACACACACACACACACACACACACACACACACACACACACACACACACACACACACACACACACACACACACACACACACACACACACACACACACACACACACACACACACACACACACACACACACACACACACACACACACACACACACACACACACACACACACACACACACACACACACAGGAGCTTTACAAGAACTAAGGGATCGTCATTCTCTATTCAACAAAAGTTTAATATTTAAGTGGTGCTTTATTCCAACGATGGCTGACAGGTGCAAACGTGCTACAACGGTCATTCCATTCGGAGAAACACGCAGCTGCTTCGGAAACAAGTTAAATATAAAAACACAATCTTGAACTCATTGAGAAATATTCAAAAACGGTAGTAAACCTTATCCTCAATAAATGTTTGCTTTTACCTTTTTAAGGGGTTTCTGTTATAGCAAATAGAAAAAACGTACCCTTACTTCACTATGCTGTAATGTGCACCCTGTGGATTTAATCGGGAATTATTAAGAATAAAATTGTAATTCCAAGAATGGAAATCCAATCAAATCCTGAGATAATGAAAGTTTCAAATGCCGGCTGAAGTTGGTAGGATCCTCTGGGGACCATGAATATATGCGTTAATTACTTATTGCAAGATTTGAAGTCAAGCTTATTAGTTATAAGACTGACAGACCCAGGCTGCTAAAATGGTTTAAAAAAGGAAGTTTTAAATCAGTGTAGCACCCTCTATTTGATCAGTCTGTAGCAGTGTTTGCATGATGTACTGAATGTAAACACATACATCAGAAGTGAAATTAGTGCTTTATGATCAAAGGACCGAAAAACAAAGCACTGTAGTCTTCCCTTTGAAGAGGACAAATTGTAAAAGCATATATTTATGTTAATTTTCACATTTACTGAGACACAAAACTCTACTCAGACAAAGAAAGACTTTGATCTGAAAACAAATGTACAAACAGACTGACAGTGAACCAGCATCAGGACACATGTTGGGGAAAAACACTCAGGTGATGACAGCTGGAGTGTTTCCAACTCCCACCTGTGTGCTCTAAAGTCTAAACCAGTGGTTCTCAACTGGTCAGGCCTCAGGACCCACTTTTTTTTCTTCATCAATAAATTGCGACCCAAAGGTCTGAAACACTCACATTTATTTCACCAAAAATAGTGCAGTGGCTCAGTCAGTAGGGGCTTGGACTGTGAGCCGTAGGGTCGCCGGTTCAAGTCCCCGAACAGACTTAAAGTATGGAGTGTGGACTGCTACCTGGAGAGGTCCCAGTTCACCTCCTGCCCTGCCGTGGTGCCCTTGAGCAAGGCACAAGACAACCCCCTTCTCCCCTCACTCCCATTGCTCCCCGGGCGCTGTACAATAGCTGCCCACTGCTCCTAGTACTAGACTCCTGGTACTAGGATGGGTTAAAAGCAGAGAACAAATGTCACTGTGTGCTGTGTGCTCTGCATGTGTGACCATTAAAGAGGGTTTCATCCCTTCAATTCTTCTTAGTAATATATAAGCTTCTCAGCATCCACTTTAAAGTAAAGTGAAGAACAGCGCATACATTTTCAGTAAATGTAGTCCATGTAGATACTGCAGTGAGAGTTCCCAAAGAAATGTCGTTGTACTTTGTATGATGACAATACAGATATATTATATTCTATGGGAACAAAACCACATCCTCAACATTGTTAGTTCCATGCAAGGCAGAATATATCCCTTCACAGAACTAAAGTATGCTTTTTAAATGATGGTCATCAAGTTTCTAGAATCAAAATTGAACTGTATTAAATAAAGGCATAGTTGTCTTGTATTAAATAAAAAGGCAGACTCGCACATCCACTCGTTGAGAACCACAGCTCAAACAACCCAGCGCCTGGAGCAGCTCAGAAACATGGAGGCCATTATCTCTCTGTGAGGAGGGTCAGACTTCAGACGCTTTGAGTCATGGAAACTCTCACCCAGCTGCTAACAGGTTATCACACTCCTGCTGCAATGCTATAAACTTTTACTGTATCAGTCTGACACAGTGTGGGAAAAACAAGCAGGACCAGCACAACACTATCCTGACAACAGCTGAGCATCACCCGAGCTTTATGGCTCCACATCAACACTCCACGTTAGGGCTGCACGATATATGGTGTCGTGACGATAATCTCGTTATAATCTCGATATTGACATTGCAGGACGTGCTATTTTTTTATTATTTTTTATTTTTTAGGACGTGCGATATTAAGTAGGCAAATGAACTCAAACACGTCATGTTA